TATGGCGGTGAACCCAAAATCAAATCTGAGAAATTATACTTTGAGAAATGAGAAATCATATTTAGCTTTTTTTATTTCTTTTTTTTTGCATTTTGGTCTATATATTCATGGAAATTAAATACATTATTATCATATTGAAAGCAGTGCTGCACAATAGTTTTGTGGAAATGCTGATACTTTTTTTCAGAATTCTTTGATGAATAGAAAGTTCAAAAGAACAGCATTTATTTGAAACAGAAATCTTTTGTAACATTATAAATATTTCTACTGCCACTTTTTACAAATGTAATGCACCGTTGCATGCAAATGCATTCATTTTTATTATAAAACAATAAGTGTGTTGCCAAAAAATAAGTACACTGCCTCAAAAAAGACAGCTTTTTAAAAAATAAAGTATTTATCATGGTAGCATTATATGCGTTTATGATTATTTATTTATTAAAAACCACTGCATTACAATAATGAAACACAAAAGCATTATTGTTTTACTTTAAAAAATAATCTAATGAGAGTCATCAGTGAAAATTATAGGACTTAAGTTTAAAAAGTAAAGAAAAATATCTGGATGCCCTGCAGATAATTTGTGTGGCCTTAGCAGCTACAAAAGAGCACTCTTGAGCATCCATCTGAATCATAAAATCAGAAATTGGACACAATACAATCTCCTGGACTACTTCAAGACTGCTACTCCACATCGAATGTGGGATCTAGGACAGCACCAATAATATGAGAAAGATTGAGTGGAACAGCCTATCAGCAGACATGTGAAAGGTCATGTGAAAGGTCAACTTACTCTGTCTTCTGGCATAGGCGAACACTCTCTCCTGGAGCTCTGCAGCTGTCAAAAGAAAGGTGTTGCCAGGTGAACGTGAAATAAAGTACTACTGTAAGGGAATAAATATCACTTTTATATAAGCAGAAAAAAATGTATTAAGTCTGTGTTCAATACCATACTGAACTCAAGAGCTCTGTTTCAAACCCTAGTTTGCGGCATTCCTGTTTAAGTGCCTTCTAAAGCAGCATCCTATAATATCATATAATAATTTCATCTGATGAATCAAATTTAAGTGCATATATGCAATGCTGCTGTAGAATTTGCCTAGAATGTGGCATAATTTTGCTCCCTACTGAACCAGTCTTCACATCAGAAGCGCGTGACCTATAAAGCTGTCTAGATAGAGAGGTCACTAGGGCTTGGAACAGAGCTTCGGTTTGACTTATTTTTACCTCTCCCACACTCTCTCTCTCCTCTGACTCATCCAGTGAGGTGGTGTAAAGTGGCTCATAGTTGATTAGATCTGGACGCTCAATGTCATAAATGGCTTTGACCCTGGGAATGGCTGCTAAATCCCTGTAATCAAGGATCTCATTGTCTACTTTTGCCTAGGGGACACAAACACACACGGAGTCACACAGAAATCTGCGTTTCTACATGACAGCAGTGAAAATATAAAGTTATATAAAAAGCCTCTTCCAGATCAATGTAAGGGGCTGAGCATGAGCATTTAAAGGGGTCATATAATGCGATTTCAAGTTTTCCTTTCTCTTTGGAGTGTTACAAGCTGTTCGTGAATAGATAAGATCCCTAAAGTTGCAAAGACTAAAGTCTCAAACCCAAAGAGATATTCTTTATAAAAGTTGAGACTCGTCCCCGCCCTCCAAAAACGCCTCGTTTAAACACGCCCCCACATGTCTACGTCACTGTGTGGGAAGATTTGCATAACACCGTCCAAATGTTCACGCAAAGAAAGAAGGCGTAACTTTTATTCTCGCTGTTGTATTGCTGCTGCCGCCACCGTCATGTCGTGGAGAGTCGCTGTATGTTTTGTTGTGAAAGCGAGACTACTTTGTTTGGTCTTCCAAAAGATGACACAACTAGAAATCAGTGGTTACGTTGTATTTACAACACTGTTCCAGAACAGCTCAAACCAAATATTCAGATGTGAACAACGGTATTTTACGGAGGACAAGGACTGTTTCCTGGGAGAGTAGCCTACAATGCCGGTGTTCTGACAAATAATGCTGACTCAGTCACAGACTGTAAGTACGTTTTCATATTTAAAGGATTTTCCACTGATGATTCAAATGCGAGTTTTGAGCAGTGTAGAGTAGCGCTTGTTGTTTCTCCGATCACAAATGCAGACGTGGTTTTATGTTTACGTGGCACATTGCAACGTAACGCTTAAGATGACAGTATAAGTCATTATAATCAGTAATTATGTCCCCAATGGATGCAACAAATGCCTCGTTTATAATGGGTTTTATTGGTTTTGTCTCATCGTGCCGGGACACGGCATCACAGTATGTTAAGGGACGTAACATTTCCGTCACACGCTTAAGGTATTCGGCCAATCACAACGCACTGGATAGCTGGCCAATCACAGCCCACCTCGCTTTTCAGACCGATGAGCTTTGTAAAAATCAACGCGTTTCAGAAAGACGGGGCATAGAGGAGAAACAATAATGTACAGTATGTGGAAAATAATGTGTTTTTTTAACCTTAAACCACATAAACACATTTCATTACACCAAATACACAAAATAATGTTCTTTTTTAGCAATGTCATATGACCCCTTTAAATAATAATAAATCAAAAAGCCACTTACGTTACAGTGATTGCTTTAATAAGTTAACATTTATATTGTAACACTGCTGTCAGGATTCACAGTAACAGGAAAGAGAGCCATCTATCAGACAGAGGACTTCTATAAGTTTAACAGCCAGAAAGCTACAAGAGGTCTCGGCTAAGCCAATTTATAACACTGTAAAGTTCAATAAAATGTATGATAGTTATAAGCACTTACGCTACCGTCTACAAGTTTGATTTGTTAAAATGTTTTGGTAACACTTTATTTTAAGGTGTCCTTGTTACACGTTACATGTACTTACTATTACAATAACAATTAATTATGCATAATTGCATGCAAGTAACCCTAAGCCAAACCCTAATCCTAACCCTTACCAGAGTAAGTAAAGTACATGTAGTTAATTAATATTACTCAGTACTTAAATGTATAATTACATTGTAACAAGGACACCTTAAAATAAAGTGTAACCAATGTTTTTTTGAAAGAAGTCACCAAGAGTGCTTTTATTTGATCAAAAAAACGGTAATATTGTGAAATATTATTACAATTTAAAATAACTGTTTTCTATTTGAATATTCGGTGAAATGTAATTTATTTCTGTGATCCAAAGCTGAATTTTCAGCATCATTACTCCAGTCTTCAGTGTCATATGATCTTTCAGAAATCATTCTAATATGCCGATTTGCTGAGCAAGAATCATTTCTAATCTTTATCAATGGTGAAAACAGTTCTGCTGCTTAATATTTTTGTGGAAATATATTTACACTATGCTGAAGCGATACACTTACATATATGGTGTGACCCGGTGAGCTAGGTATGCTTGAACCAGGTCTGGAACATATACTCTCGGACGACGAGCGTGTCGGCTGTGGAACAAGCACAGTTTTAGAACCAACAACCTATGAATAACATAAGCAATAAATAAAAACATCTGCATTAGCATTTTCCGCTAAACCACTGGATGTTCACCACTGACGTGATTATTCAGTAAACCTGATAAATGTTGCATTAGCCTTTACCAGAAGAGTTGTTTTACTGTGCATCACATGAGCCTAATGTAGTCTAACTTTTATACGTCAACACATTTTGTGATTGCTTGCACATGGCTGTAAAGAGATACATTATGACATATTAAAATATTCATGACCTACTGGCCAATCATGCTGCAGAAAATCAATCAGCTGACCAAGACTAAGACTCATCATAAACAACAAAGAATGCACAACAAATCTAAAACGAGTGCGAGGAAAATATATTAAAAATACATAAATAAATCCTTAGCATCAAAATATACATGCTGTAATATATATAACATATTCAAATATAAATGTTAGAAAACTTTAACCTGTAAACAATGATATATTGTGACGGATTATGACTAAATAATGACAGCATCCTGGAAACAAACCTAAAAGAAATCATTCATTTGCCTTCCACACAATGAATGAGACTCATCGATGGCAATTTCATGTTTCCGATGGCAGGAAATGCTTGAGGATCAAAATGCAAGTACATCTGATATTACTCAGCATATTGAAATGCTGAAATGCTGAAATGCACCATGCGTGATTACAGCAGCTTAGCTTGATTTGAGGCCTGTTTGGCACAATAACAGAGGAACTGGGCAAAAACTCTCTGTTCCGTAGCACTAGCGTCTGTGAGATGGACCAAACCAGATGTTAATGATGGTTTATGGCTAAAACTGAGAGCAGGCGGTCTGAGCACGGCAGAGTAGCTGCCAGTCAGGAGCACAGCAGCCTGCCACCTCCAGGGGCCAGCACATGGTCATGCGATGCCATGGCGCAGCTAACAGCGAGTACAGTACCTGCCTTTCTGTTTTGCTGAGGAGAGCTAGAGACGCAGGCAATAGCTGTGGAGGAAGACACAGGGGTTTGTTCGGACTAGGGATGTAACGGTATGAAAATTTCTTATCACGATTATAGTGACCAAAATTATCACGGTTATCGGTATTATCACGGTATTGTTAACATGTGCTAGAGATGTTAAAAAAGTACAGACACATAAATCACTTCACCAAGTTTTATATTTAAAAATCAACAAACAACAAATAAAATGAATTTTTGTTTGCATAATCACTAAAACAATAACATTACCAATGATGTTCGGATTTTAAATGACAACTTGACTGA